GGACTCCGCAGTAAATCAGCGGTGATTCACCACGCGCTAGCCAAAGAGTTTAATCAGTTTAACCTGAGCAAGTTTTATAATTTACCTTTAAATAGTCGAAGAAGAAAATTAAACTCTTAACAAGACCTTCGCCGTTTATAATATCAGAATTGAAATGTTAACGACTTCGAAGCGACTAGACGTACTGGGCTTCATAAATCATTCAGCTGCTGTTACGTAAACAACCAAACTGCTGAACATCGTTTGACCGGTAATTCTCCATACGGAGAAATCGCTCGATTGTTTTCCGATCATAAGGATTCGATTAAAATGGCGTCATTTAAGATATTCTTGTTATCACTGCGGGAACAAGGTTGCAAGTCGGTCCTACGAAAATGGAAAATGTGGCCTTTCGACTGCATATGTCAGGATGCTTGCAGTAGAACTGGTCGGTCATTTTAACTGTTTGAGGTTAGTCCTGCTGGTGGCTGCGATCGAAGCAACAGTTCACTGTCAGAACTACTAAATTCGACATGTTTCTTCGAAATAACAATAAGATAATATACGGTTAGAAAAGAAGTGACACGTGTCATTTAAAAGTGGCAGCATCTTTAGTGTATCCTTAAAATATGTTTCATGTACGGTTCTGATCAAATTAAACAATACTACGGGTGAAATATGATCAATGTATAGGTTAGCAAATGCTCACGAATGAGCACGTACATCGAATCATTGTCAGAGAAAAATTTTTCAGAAAAAATTCTTCTAAGACCGACGCCTGCCCTGTTTTGACACTAGTGCCATAAAACGGCTAGAATTTTGTTTAAATGTGTTTTTCAAAGAAAAGTTGTTCATTGTGTAAGTATGTGTGATCATCATCTTGAGCCGTTTGCGTAAGCAGAACATTCCTGCTTTGCGATGTACGCTATATGTACAGCTTAACAACACTTTTGCTTCCTTGCCATCCGACATTAGTTATTGCGTCGTGGAAGGAATATTTCTCCACCCCCTTCTCTCTGTGAAATCAGATCTGCCTCTACACTGTTACTTCGCATTGCATGGGCTACCGGTCAACGTTTTCCGTTTTTCAGCTTCCATCGAGTAAGTGACAAAATGGAGTAAATGGTTTATGCTCAGGCTAGCAGCGCTAACGTCATTTATTAAATTTCATCAGTTACGACAACGTGCTTTCAGAATATGATACAGTCATTCCTTGCGTGGTCTTGCAATTCAAACCCCATTCTGCGTCGAAGCCAACGTTGTCGCGTACAGTTCAACCGTCCATGTATGGAACAACTGTTTCCACCATTCCATACAACACTGAATTGTCTGAGACAAGGTATGGACGAATTTTTTTTATAAAGGGCTACTCGTTTCTCTGTTTAGACATTTGATAAGTCACCAAAGGTCCTGGAGGTGACACCAATGAATCCCGTAATTAACTCTGATTGGACAGTGCCATTGCTGGAGATGACTGAGCCGAGATTCTTAAATTCGTTAGATTCCTTCCTGTCCTCCACTCTCTGTTCTGCAAATAGATCTACTAGTGTCTAAAGGGTTTTGCACCACTATGGACTTGCGAACATTAAGGAAAAGGTCAGTAATCACAGCTCTGTCACAAAACCGGAAGCCGTCAAATGGCAAAGCCCTCATCCCGTACTATTCACCAGGATGATACCATTTACATACTCCAAGTCAACAAGATATCTAGCCGGATATGTTGGGCTGCAGACTTGAACCATCTTCCTTCTGGGTGGAAACTTTCGTCATTGCCCAGGTCAGCATTGTCTCAAAAAGAGCTCGATGACAATGTTGAATAGCTAATGCAAAATCACATCTCCATGGCGAATTCCACAGCTAATAGTGAACGCTTCAGATAGCTCGTCTTCGACTTTGACAGCGTATACACTTCTTGTGTACATCTCTTCCAAAATGGAAGCGATTTGTTTAGATCGCCCATCGCTTGTTAAGACTCTGCACATTGTTGAACGATGTTTTCAATGTTGATTAAAAGATATATTCTTGTTTTCCTGTCGCGATTTCGTCCTTTCTAATTTATAGCGCACCGTCAATCCTCATGTCTCCGTTTTACTGTTATAAGCAATTCTCCTAACAAAGTCACTTTTCGGTTGCAAATTCTTGGCATTGTCAGTTCAACTTGTTTTCAGGAAAACCGTTATGCTCTGGATTCTAAGCTGTATCGAGACTCCTTTAAGAAAGCATGAGACGATTTTAGGCCATGCTGGCTACATGTTGCAACACTGAAAACGATATCAGCGCAAGTTATTAATATTGCGTATTTCCGTCGTGCATCGGTGATCATACTGAAAACTATATAAAAACACCGATCATAGAACACGGAGAAGACATAAATGTACTGAACAGCAGGACTGGTACAACCAGTGTTCAAGAAGGGTGACCACGGGGAGTGCACCAATTATCAGGGCATTACCCTATTGAGCTTCCGGGTAAAAGTCTACGTAAAGACGTTAGAAAGAAGGTGCCGTGG